CCCTTCCAATCCAAACCATTCTGTGGTTTTTAATGCTAAAAAGAAATACTCTGAGAGGCATAGTCTTGTTTATGTACTATATGATACATTGTTCTAAAAGCATCAGAGCTCAAGTGCAACATAAAGGGGAGGTGGCCGTGCAAGAGCAATATCGGCAAAAGAACAAGAGATGCTAAAACGACGTGACTTTACATTGAAGAGGGTGTGTATCCTCACCCCTTGGCCTGATGTGGGCATGAGTTTAGCATTTTGCAGCCATAAAACAATATGAACTTACTGATTATGTGTGTTCAGAGCAGGTTTGGGCTGAGAAGTCCTTATAAATGATGCCTTGAAAGACCAGTATTGTAGGATGTCCCAGGAATGTAATACATAAGGATTTACAATGAAAAACTGTATGCCTTCATTTGAGACCCTGAAAGCAACACAAGAGCAATTGAAAACAGTGATTAAATAAGAAAATATTAAATATTTTATTAACCAATATGCATTTTGTTTTGTGTTTTTCTTCCCTTAATTCTACCCCTTGAATAAGAATTTCTCCTATTTATTTTTTTTTTTACAAAAGTAATTTTGTAACCATTGTAACTTTACAGAGGAAGTTGAACATTGAATTAAAATACAGAAATGAAAATTAAAAGAACTACAAATGTAGGTGTTTGAGAAGCATCGCTTAATAGAAGAAAACTCTTCAGTCCTGGAAGGGAAATTGTCTTCATGTCTGATAACCTGTTTAGAATTGAGATCACTTAGGAATGGCAATATGATAACTTACTGGGAAAAGTTGCAATGTACGAGAAATGCACATTTACTGCCTTTTTTTGTTAAGTTTGATCACAATAATTATTGAAGTCACAAATCTAATTGAATCTGGTGCATGTTCTGATTTGGACACTCCTCCTGTAGTTTCAGTGACTTATTTCACCTTAGTTCTTTCTAAAGTGATAGCTGCCATCACCATACTTTTGGTCAAGTTAGCACCGAGTATTTTTGGTCAAGTTAGTACCGAGTTCGAGACTGATGCTTCCGTTCAACAATGCTTCAACATTAAATTATAGGTTTGAAATTTCATTGTTTATGTAAGTGGACTAACCAGGGCTACAATTGTTTCCAAGCCATTTGATCTTTGTTGCAAATTAGTGAAGTGATAATTGCACATTGCAATTTCTAGATGAAAAGCATAGTAGCGATGTTACCTTTATCATGCAATTCATACTTCTACATTCAACTGTCTACATAAGCACATCGGATAAAAAACTTGTACAAAAAATGCAGTGAGACTTGTTCAGAAAAATGACATCTGCTGTGGAGATGTTTTCAATTCTGGAAGTTACTGGTTTTGTTTCTGTCTCCCACTGGAAATGTAAAGTTGAACTGATTAGAAACTATATGGAAGAGATAATAAGTAGATCACTTATGAATCAGTGTGAGCTGCTTTAAATGTCCATAAAATTATGTTTTGGTACAATCTTACCTAGTTTAATCCAGTTGTTGTAACTGAACTTTTATTTGCCCAGGTAAGACCTTTGTACATCTTGCTTCATGGGAGGCAATTATGGCACCTACATGGCTTTTTGCAACAGGAATACATTGTTGGCTCAAGGGCTGTACTTGTGTAAGGACATCTGCCATAAGATGGTCCTCCACTCACTTTTGGGAACTTAGCAGAGACTAGGAGCCAAGGCCCAGCTGCCTTTTATGCGGACAAGGGTTTGTCCTTGTATGATAGGCTGCCGTGTGGCGCCCAGCCCTCAAGTGGCCATGAGCTCTAGTGTAGTAACTTTGACTCAGAAAGTCCCTGTACTGTTAGCTCTCGTTGGCAATGTAGCATGTTATGGCTTGCTGCGGCATTTCAGCTGTTGTATGCACACTGAGACTGTGTTTTTAACTCTGTTCAACTAGTCAGGAAGAGATAAAACTTGTGTGTAGTTGGATCTGTAAAGCAAACTAAAATAAACATTATTTCAATTAAACTAAGAGTATTTATAGTGCTTTTATCTACTGGTTTAATAAATTTATTTAAAATCACATCTTCAGTGGTGTGTGGACAATTTTGTTATGCAGACCAGCTCTTAGTCCTATCAAAACTGCTTTAAGTCGGTGAGTTGAGACTGAGAACTCTCAGATGTTACTATGATGTAGACACTTCTTTTTTTCCATTTTCTTTCTTTCTATGGGTGTGTGTGATCTATGTATTGTAAAACCAGGAAATGGTGAAGGCAACACTTCTGTACCTCAGTTTCTTTATTGCTATAGTGGTAACAGTACTTCCCTGGTGTTGGTTCTGCGGTGGTCTAAGGCCCTGCAGCAAAAGATGTTTATGTACGATGAATAATTGTGAGACTGAGATCTTAAATATAACATTGGTGTGACTTAATTTCTGAGGAAAGATTTTATTTTTTTCTGGTAGAAGTTCTTCTTTGTCTCCCTCCCCCAAGAGTGATAGTGATCTCACACAACACAATTCTGTCTGTTTTGCATCTCCAGTCTTTTTATGGTGCAGCGGCTCTGAAGCTCTACTGCTCCCCAGCTGCCCCACATCTGATTGCTTGGGGCAGCATTTGTGCTTTTTGCAAAGGCTGCGTCAGTGGATGCCAGCAGAGCAAGGATTTCTGTAGCTGCTGTGCTACCGTATGTTCTGTTAGTCTGTGTTTCACTACAGGAGTTTAGCTCTTTTTGTTTGTATAAGTATCTGTGAAGTATAGAATGCTTGAGAGCAGGGTAGAGAGTATACTGAGCCAGACTTCTGTGGTGCCCAGTGAAAGGCCAAGAGGCAATGGATAGAACTGGAGATACAAGAAATTCCATTAAAACGTAAGGAGCCACCTTTTTAAGTCTGAGCACAATCCACCCCTGGCACAGGCAGCCCAGAGAGGCTGTGAGGTCTCCATCCCTGGAGGTATTCAAAAGCCTGACTGGACGGGATCCTGGGCAATCTACTCTGTCTTGACTCTGCATAAGCAGGGGGTTAGCCGAGAAGATCTGGAGGGTGTTTTTCACCTTTAGTGGTGTTGTGATTCTGTAAAAGGTACTGTATTGAGTTTTAATGATAGCACTTTGTGGGTAGGATTCTTCATTTTATATATTGAAACTCGGATTATACACAGATGAAGTTTTCGTGTGGATAAGAAGCTGAAGCATGATGACCTTAATAAAACAAAACAAAGAAATTGATCTTAGTCATCCACACAGGGAGAAAGCAAAGAAAGATGTGTCTGAAGTCACTCTAATTGTGTAAGGTAAATGACTAACAGTAAATACTTTAATTACCCATGTAGGATTTATTTTTTCCTGTGATTGCTAAATATTCCTTCCTTGTAAGTGTGACATCCGAAATCACGTAGGACTGGTACATGGGTAATTCACAAATAGGAAACCCATTCCTCCCTTGTCCGGGTTGAGTAAGTTTCTCAGCTGACAGCTGTTGCAATAAAAATGGTGACTACGTATTCTTCAAAAACTATTTTAGCATCATAGCCTATATAGTCCACAGAAGAATTAAGAAACCGAGATACTTGTGGTAAATTACTGGTAATTTTTAATAACTCTGGAAATGATCTAAGCTTGACTGTTTGTCCAGAGAACATATTACCCAAGCAAAATCAATTGTCATGCCATGAATAAATTTAAAACTGTAACATTTTATTATGACTATATGGAATTTCAGCTGGAGCCATCGGATTTGTTTGTAAGATTTTAAATTCTTGTTTAATCTTTGAAATACAACTTGGTTCAAAAAGTGAAAATGTGGTGTTGTAGTAGCGAACCTCTAATGTTGGACGTGAGTATGGTTGTAGTAAAGACATGTTGGGATCATGATTGAAAGGATAGCACTGCCTATAGTTTAAGAAATCACAGGTTTTTAATAATGCAAGACAGCTGTGGTATCTCTTTCATGCCATCTTAAAATAGCTTTGTAAAGACTGACTTCTTATTGGTTAATTTTGTGTTGATTTAAGATGTTTATGTGTTCTAATAGGAAAAAGTAAGTTCCACCAGACTTTGTCTATTTTATAATGATGTCCAAGCAAAGTGCTTTTTCGCAGCTTTTGTTTCTAAATGTGGCTTTTATTGATATAATCATTAATCTTAAAATATTTCCTTTTTTCTTTTTCTTTTTTTTTCTTTTTTTTCTTCTCCAGTGGGAAGAGATTAGTGGTGTTGATGAGCATTATACTCCAATCAGAACTTACCAAGTGTGCAATGTTATGGATCACAGTCAAAACAATTGGCTGCGAACAAACTGGATTCCACGCAATTCAGCTCAGAAGATCTATGTGGAGCTCAAGTTTACCCTGAGGGACTGTAATAGCATCCCTCTAGTTCTCGGCACTTGCAAAGAGACCTTCAATCTGTATTATATGGAGTCAGATGACGACCATTTGGTAAAGTTCAGAGAGCATCAGTTTACAAAGATTGACACCATAGCGGCTGATGAGAGCTTCACCCAAATGGATCTTGGGGACCGAATCCTCAAGCTGAATACAGAAGTCCGCGAGGGGGGGCCTATCAGCCGGCAAGGCTTTTACTTGGCTTTCCAAGATGTAGGTGCGTGCGTTGCCTTAGTCTCGGTGCGAGTGTACTTCAAAAAGTGCCCTTTCACTGTCAAGAACCTCGCCATGTTTCCAGATACGGTACCCATGGACTCCCAGTCACTGGTGGAGGTGCGGGGTTCTTGTGTCAATCACTCCAAGGAGGAAGAGCCACCCAAGATGTATTGCAGTACAGAAGGAGAATGGCTAGTGCCCATAGGGAAGTGCTTGTGTAATGCTGGCTACGAAGAAAGAGGCTTTGCGTGCCAAGGTAACAATGCCCTCCATGTTCATAGTTCTATTACTAACAGGGGCTTCGCTTTCTGTCCTTACTCCCTGTACTGGGTCGTGTTGATTTTCTCCACGTTCTTGAGAGAAATAAATTAGTTCACAAAATCACCATGAAAATGGGGATTTCTTAATCTTTGTAAATAATGTAATTTGCTAAAAGTATTTGATAAGAGTCAACAGTTGCTTTTTAGTTAATGCAGCGTGTAGCAAATGTAACCTCTCTTACCACTCTTGACCTTCCTTTCAGTAGATTATAGTTTTATCAGGTTCATTGTTTGTGTCAAAATATTTTATTTTTTTTTCATGTGACTTATTTAACTTTGTGTCTTGATGTACAACTTTTGCTAGTGAGGTGTGTTGATTAATTGGGATTGGTCAGGAAAAAAACAGGTAGCATTGCTCAGGGAAGTGTAGTTCCCAAATGCAGATACATATGGAAAAAAATTGAACTTAAAAATTGCATTTTTGTGAATACTTATGAAATAATGACTCAAAATAATTTTCTCCAAACTTTTGGTTCCTGCAAACTGTGGTTATGTGAATGCTCCCAAGAACAAGACTACACCAGGGATTTTGAGGTTTTCCAGAAATGATCTTTTAAACTTCAAAGAAATGCATATTATATTTACTTATTTTTAGTATCAACCAAAATGATGGTAGTATACATTTTGCTCTCTATAAAAGTACATTTTAAAGTTTTGTGCTAATTGGATCTTTAAACAGCTCAAAGAGTGCCTTAAAGGAGGCTGGCTCGGTCCCCATGTGTTGCCAGGTCTAGTCGAGAGGTGGCATCCCTGCCCAAAACCAGGGAGGTTGGACTAGATGATCTCTAAGGTCCCTTCCAGCCTAGGCCATTCTACGAATTCTATGAAAAGGGGCTCACATTAAATAAATAGGTAAAACAGTATTATCTAGAAATACCATGGATGGAAGGAGTAGTAACTGAGATACTTAGTGTGGAATGTGTGTTTCTTTGTGTACATGTGCACATGCGTGTATCCACAAGAAGAAAAATTTAAAGTATTCTGAACTTGGCTGAGAGAGCACTTATTCCTTTTCATTGATCCTACAGGAATCTTAATGTCAAACAAGTAAGTCCTGGGGAGCTACTAGGAGCCCACCAAACTATAGCCAGGTAGTTGTGAAAAGTGTTGCTCTAATTAAGGTGACTTTTTCTCAGAAAGTGCCAGGGAGGTGTGGGAGGAAAGAGTTTTGTTTGGTTTTGTTTTTAAGTAGATTTTTGGTTGATTTTGCCCTCAAAATGAATGAATTGTTGAGCTGATTCTTTTAAGTATGCTTTTCTACAGTTAGATACTAATATTAAAAAAAAAAACAAGTGAAACTCTTCTGCTAAGAGCTGAATCTGGGAGAGGATATTTTATTATTCAGAAATGCTTTATATGGGGCCTTTTATAGCTACACTTAAAATGGTAAAATGTTAGTGATACTTTCTTAACCACTGCATATAGTCTTGCTTACTACGGAGGTATAGAGCAGAAAGTATCAGGCTACAACAGAGCAAAAGTTGAACGAATAAAGTAAGTAAATTGTTTTATTAAAAACAGATTCTGAAATGGTTGGGGATGACAAGGCAGCTCCAACTGAGTTCTGCAGAGATTAGAAGCAAGTTCACATCCATGTGTGAGCATATCATACATGATTTGGAAGGTGTAAAACTAGACCATAGGAATATTTTTTTTTTTGACTTCCTCACCAACTGTTGATCAAGGAAGTGACATATGATGAAACCATTAACAATAGCGACAGGTCCTTCTGGTTTATTCTGATTTAACATATAATGTTCTACCAACTTTCATTGAAAGTCATATTTATCAAATATTTTCAGTGTGGTGTGATTGAAGTGGCACTCTAAAAGCAGTCAGTAGTTCAAAACTTCCCATTTGTCAGCATTGTAACTCAACAGGAATTGTAAAGTTCGGAAAGAGAGTTTAGTTTTGACCTCGGACTCAAGGCTCCTCCTGCACTTTTCCTTCTCTTTAATTTAGGAAAAAAAAGTTTCAGCTGAAGTTTGAAAGGGTAAACAGTAGTAGAAATTACTATCCTTCCAGTACTTGAAAACATTCAACAGCTTAGTGTCTGTCACTACTTGATCCTACATTCAGACTGTTTCTGATTTTATTTCTTTAATGCTGTTTTCAGAAACAATGTCATTTTGCATCAGCAGGAGATTATCACAGTTAAAATAAGGACCCTAATGATGTTTGATCAGCCTATTTCAGTTTCATTCAGAAAAGCTTTTCTTGTCCTTGGAAAAATATTAAGGCAAAGTCATGCCTCCAAATAATACAAATTGTACCATTTTCCATGACTCCTACCTTTCTCTTCATAGCCAGAAATAGGCTCAAGCCATTTTTGTTATTGGTGTACATGTAAAAATGCACATGGTTTTACATGATATTTATATCTAAGCTCTGAAGAGCTAAGATTGGACTATTTACTTTACTCAGCATATTGGTTCTTGTTGGAAAGATTATTGTTCTGTTCTGGGTCCAAACAATTGATGAGCATTTTACATGTACAGCTGTACAACACCTACCTGGTCAGTTCGATGAAGAATTGGGACCAATTTTCCTGTGACCATTCTTGTACTCTGTGTGTGTGGAGAAATGATTTCTCAAAAGAAAACTGTGTATCTCACCTTGAGGAATTCTGATTTTTGTGGTATGCTTTCAATTAACAGGCTAAGATTTAACACCTGCTCTAGCAAAGATTTTGGCACCTGGTCAGTATTATAGAGGGATTAGGTTTGTATAAGGTAAGGTGAGACGTGTCAAGGAGCTTGTTGGAAAAAGTTTCATTCCTTTTATTTCCACTTGGCTAATACAGGTTACTTAACTAGATATACTATATGTCATCCACTGTAGATGGTTACTACAGCTCTATTAGCACTTATATCATACCTATCCTGTCTATTTAATTTTATTGTAGTATTCAATGACTGACTAGGACTTCTTCACAATATCTTTTCTAAATTATCTATTCATCCATTTTGGCCAAACTGCATCTTTACAGCATCTTCTCTCTCAGAATTAGTGTGATTTATTTTGTTTTAATTAGGGAAAAGACCTGACCGTCTGGAACTGCACGGTAAACCTAGTGCTTTCTGATAGTCTCCATCCTATTCCCCAGTCAGCACAGATAGCTCATCTTTTTAATTTGGTCACACTCAACCAGCCATAGGCGATCAGATCAGAGGTTTTTCTGCCTTAGTGTTCTTTCTTTGATGGGGACTAATGGCAGATTGCGAAGGAAAAGTGTAAGGAACTGTATAAAGCACTGCTTTAGTGGACATACCTTTCAGCTTCTGCCAATCTGCTGTTGACTTTCTAAGGCTTAGGATACATCTTGTAAGAAAGACTGTGTATGAATGAATCAATGACCTGCCACTTAGTTAATTTGTCTATTTTTTGATTCAAATTTTTAATCTCTGTAATTTTTTATGGCAGTGAATGCTATATCTTGTCTAGTGTGGAAGACTTACCTTCTTGCTGTCTTCGAGCCGTCTGTTTTAAGTCGGTTGGGTAAGGTTTTCCATGTTCTTGTATAGTGAGAAAATAATAACTGCTCCCTTTTCAGCGTCCATATTAATACTTTTCAATGTCTCTTTCATGTCTAGTATCTTGTACCTAATACCTGTTTTCTCAACTGTCCCTCTCTACTAGTGCCTTCTTATTTGGAGGACCAGCTAATTGCTCCATATCTCGACTCATCCTTTTTGGCTGTCTTTGTACATATTGAAAGTAAACAGTGTGATTTTTATGAAAAGGGCAGTGAGGCTTGCGTGCACTGCATAAGTAACAAGTACATCAGTGTCCCAGTATTTAAAACAGCCCAAAGGTTAATAAAAGAAAAGGAGCATTCACATCACCTGCCCAGTGAGTGATTTGTACGTGGAAAAGCTAGGCTCAATTTTGTTTTGAACGCTACAGAGAGGAAATAGATCTCACGATGTAAAAATTGGTTAGTTGGGGTAATAGTATTAAAATAAATGGGAAAATGTAGGATAAATGTTAGAAAAAATGTCTTCAGTTCTGTAATGACCTGGAAAACTCCTCAGAGAAATCATGGAAGCTCTTTTCAGGAGCTGTTTTTTTTAAAGAATGCAGTAACCAGGTGATAAAGGAAGTCATGTGTCGGCAGGCTTGGACTAATAAATCTTTTCCATCCTGAATGTGTCTGTTCTGTTGTTGGTTTATTTCCTGCGCTTCAGAAAGACTAGCTAGACATGGAGAATGCTATTTTTCATTACAATATACTTAATCAGCAAACATGCAGTGAGCAATCGTTCATCTGTGTGGGAGTGTGAGTGAGCTTGAATGTTCTTTTGAATGCTCCGAACAGGTGACCCTTTAGACCAAAACAAGTTCTGTGGCTCCAGTTATCAAATGGAAAATTAAATTAGTGGGCCTAAACAGAATGACTCAAAAAGCACAGAATTACATTTTCTGCATACTGTTGTTTTAAGGTAGAGTTCTAAATTTTTGTTGCTGGAATTGAGTAAGTCTGAATTGTAAATTTTCTGTGTGGTGCTATGTAATAAAGTTGTAAGTTTGAACCACAAGTGACTGACACATTTTCTACAACAAAAGCAGAAGAAAAAAGAGAATGTAATCCAACGGTCCTTCCTTATCTATATATTTTTTAGCTATTAATCAGGTGAATTGAATGAGAGAAAAGGGAGTAAGGGGTAAAGGAGGGAGAGGTGAAGTTCACTCACGGTGCCTGGTTATTGCAAAAATGACTTCACAAAATTTCCCCTAACACTAAATTATTCAGTGCTTCAAGTTCTATAGTGAGCATATCCTAAATCACATTTCTCTCTCTGAGTTTGTGGAGATATGGAAGAAATGCCATCTGTAGCTACTAAATCTGCACCATCACTTACATTGCTTAATTCTTTCAGTAGAATGGATGGTGTACTTGAGATGAAAATATGTAGAACAGTGTTAATACTAAGGA